ATATCTGGACAACCGTTAAGGAATGGAGAACTGAGACGTGTTTGTGAATGCAAACTTCCACTGCCTTCCATGGCAGATGTCTTCTTTCAGAAACGACTTGGTTCCATACCTGGCTGATGATTGAGTTCATTCGGTCTGAAAATGTTGGTCCCACTGTGTGACTGGGAGTTGATTTCCAGAAGCGTCTGGAAGAGCCAGTGCGTATAACTAGGACACGAAATGAATAAGGAGTCCATAAACATGGTCGAGATGTCACGGCACTGAGATTGGGAACAGAGAGGGGGTTAGTTTCACGTGGGACAAATTTTCAGGGGCATAATGCAGATATGCCCTACTGGGTGTCCAAAATATGCTGTTAGGCAGGGTGAGGTGTTCCATCTTTACCGAAGACGGCATTTGACAATGAGAGTACACATGTGGAACATCTTGTGATAATACAGTTTTAGGTTTTGAAGTTCTTGTTCCCTCAAAAACGACTCATTGCTGCGTGTGGACGTGTGGAAGAAGACACACAATTACCTTATCATAACGCTGGCCCTACCAAAGTCACCTGCGGTGTGCGGAGAGCCACCAATTGGGGTAGCAGAGGTGGCGTAGATGCGTTCGCACTGTAAGCTACCTAGAAGGCTGGGTCTCCACCTTTGCTACCTTGTTTTTGTAAGGGAATTATTTGGTGGGCAGTGTGGGTGCCTGCTTCTCAAAACAGGGTCATTTGCCTTTGCAGATTTAGTGGGAGGCAAGTGCTACAAGGTTATTTAATTAACATTACAAGACATATCGGCATCGTTCATGTTCCATAAGCAGATCAAGGGAATTATTGGAAGAGTTGAGTTTGCAAGATTGGTAAAATTTTCGACAGACGGAGAAGGTGGCGTAGATGCGTTCTCATTGAAAGCTACCTAGAAGGCTGCGTCTCCACCTTTGTTTTCCTCTTAGTAACTGTGGCGTAGCGCGATGGGCACGACAATGTGATGGGGCTTAGTGCATTCACCACCACAACGTAGCGCATGCCATCACATCGTTGTCTTAGACGTCCTGCAGCACAAAGCATGTCGACAGCGACGATGACACCCACCACTGCTTCGCCCAGCACGCCACCACTCCCTCC